CTGATCCTTTTCGCGACACCCGAGCACTGAGGTCATGTGCGGCAAGCATGGGCTCGGTGGCCGGACACACTTCGGGCGCCCAGCCAGCGAGGAGAACAAAATTTACTTTTGCCAAATCGGCGGCTGAGTGACCGAGCACACACTTTTTTCCGGACATGAAGTCGACAGCCCAGGCTGTCGGCTTCATGGACGGAACACACGCTCTTTTTCTTTTTTTTTTAGGGACTTCAGTCCCGAAGTGAAGTTAGAGTAAAATCTATAGAGTCAGTAAAGTAAATAGGGAGAAAAGCCTAGATGTGGCTACCCCTACAGTCAGGTGGCATAACCACCGTAATTAAAAACAGGAGGTGTCTCATTACCCAGGGCACCTCAAGTAACTTTCAGATCATAAGCCTCCTCACGTAAGTCACACGATGAGGAGGGGTGGTGGAAAAGCCTGGGGGTCAGATAGGTACCACTTCAACTAGTGAAGTGTGACCGGTTTGATCTTCGGACATGTGGATCCCATACTTAGTTTGGTATACACATGTTCCTAGGGGTAGGGTTGATCGCTTAGCGTGATTGTGTGTGTGCATTATCTCCTAAACTACTTGACATTTTGTAATAAAAATGGACACGATACTTTCTTATTCTGAAAGCATTTTTCATACAAGAGAAACAACAAAATCTAAGGGCACAGAAAAATGTTAAGTTGATTTGCAGCCCTAAATCCCCCCAAACTTTTAAGTACGTTCAAATTAAATAAATTTTGTGGCATCATTAGTTTAACACGTTATTTTAAAACTTTTTTCCTCGTATTTCTTTTTCAAAAAACTAGTTCCTAACTACTAAAAACCTTTTCAGGCAGTATCCTGGTCGGTGGATTGGAAGGGGTCGTGACGCACCTATTTCTTGGCCACCCAGAAGTCCAGGTCTTAACCTCATGGACTTTTGCTTTTGGGGGTTTATGAAAGAGAAAGTGTAATCTGTAACAATAAATGATGAACAACAATTGATGGTTAGAATAATTGAAGCTGCCAATCAATTTCGTCAGAAAAATATGATTTTTCGGCGCGTTCGGTTTCCTTATTAAAACAATAATGAAGAAAATGGGAGTCATTTTAAACATTTATTGTAATATCATATTTATAGAGGTTATAGACATTTTTTGCACTTGTTAATTCATTTAAGCCATTTATTTAGTTGCACGTAATTTTTTAAAGGTTAATGAAAAGAGTCGTAACTCAGTAAAAACTTTTTTTTTTTGAAAAAAGTGATAACATGCAAAAAAATTTTAAAAATAATGTGTCAAACTAATGATGCCACAAAATTCATTTAATTTGAACGTACTCAAAGGTTTGGGGGGAGTTAGGGCTGCACACCCCCCTTAAAATTTTTCTGTGCGCTTAGATTTTGTTGTTTCTTTTTATGAAAAATGTTTTTTGAACAAGAAAGTAACGTGTCCATTTTTATTACAAAATGTCAAGTAGTTAAGGAGATAATGCAAAAAAAAACAATTTTTAATTTGTAACTTCAAAGGGCTGTAACTTTTTTTGTGCAACTTTCGTACTAAGGTAAGTTGGATTTAATCAATTTATTTTTGTCCCCGGAAATCGTGATTTAATTTATAACATACCTTTTTGAAACACCCTGTATACCATATGGAAACAAGAGACAGATTACTTATACTTCTGAAAAATTACATAAATAAATATGGTCATAATTTGACATTCAAATATCTTAGAGGAAAACTTTTTCTTGAAATATGTAATGTTCTGAGTTGATCACTGGTTCAACTGGATTTTAAGGATACACACGTTAAATTGAAGTAATTGAACTCAGAGAATCAGAAAGAATGACCACTTTAACGATATTGGTGTTATTAGTAAATTTAATTGCTCGATGAAGAACGAATAATTCGGCTGCGAATATGCTACAATATGGAGATAATTGAAATAGGTGTTTACTTGATTTAACCACAAAAGTGCTAGATTTTAAAGCATCTATAAATATTTTAGAGAAATTTTCATAAGATTGGAGTATACGTGACAAAATAGTTTTTATTATGGAGGGATGTATTTCCGAATTATTGTATTTGATCATATATGCATTATATTGTGGAGTATTGAGTGACCAAGGGGTATGAGGATCGGCGATGTTTGGATTTAATATATCGTAAAAATCATAGGGTAATTTCTTAGAATATGTTCTAATTCATTCATAGTATTTCATTCATAGTATGGTTTTCTTGTTGATAACAACAGGTCCTCGAAGATACGTCGTCTCAGGACCATTTTACAGTCTGTCCCAAACCCTTTTTTCAGTGCGTCACTAATTTTGACGTCATATAGGATTTAAAGAATGTCGAGAATTATTGCATGACATTTTAGTTAAATCTGACAGTTGCAGGATCGTAATCGGCTAAATGTGAAAAGGTTATTTTTTTTTAAATGCATAGCAGTTTGTCATAATTCTGTTATATTTTATACATTCCAAGGAAAGTGCTTAATTAGCTTAGATTCGTTTATGGATTTATTATTATTTATTACAAACACACAGGCATATTGCAATGACAATTGCAATTGCAAGGCATCAAAGTAAACATTCCTGTGATAAAATAACATCGATTTAAATCCGTCATATTTGGATAAGTAATTTTCTGATAAGTTTCTGTGGCAGCCAATAGTTTAATTTTGTGAAGATTTGTCATTAAATAGTGGAAATAGTTTAAATAGTGAAGCAGTTGATTTTTGAGTTAATCTACCAGTTCTGGTATCCAGATGAAATCGTGTTAATGGATTTTAGTTAAAAAACAAGATACCGAATGTAAGTTTACCTTCTTTTTTATGAATAACAAAAATGAATATTATATTTCAAACAATCCATAATCCCATTCAGAATCTGATTCTTTAAAATCAATGATTACACTAGATATGTGGCTGGTATCAATTATATCTTACATTTCAAGAAAATGAAGTGGTTCTAAAAAGAACCGTTTTAATACATATAAATATTCATAACGGTATTACTTTAAGATATTTTCTCAATATTATTCCGGAATTTAAAATCTGATTCGCGAACGACAGAAACTGATAATAAAGATAACTCAGCCTCTTTTTGTAATTGAAACTAATTTAATAATTTTAATATTAGTCTTTGTTCATTCTCGGTATATCTCGGAATATTTAAAATATTTTTATGACAATAAATACAAAATTTAATTTTCACTGTAGGTAAAATGTCTGAAAATACTAACGTGGAACGGCAATTATCATTTTATTAGTTGACATTGTGAAAGTACTGTCACTGTCATTATCAAGATCATCTGTGTCAAATTATATTTATATGCATAATTGATTGGATATCTATTTAGCGTATTCTAAACTCCAACCAATTATACGTTCGTAAGTAGAATTCGCTTTAATATGCGAATAGCCGTGACCGATACCTAATTTTCTAAGTTCTATGTATAATAATCAGAGACTCACGTTTTTTTCTGTTACTTTTAGCTTAATGCGTTAGAGAGAATTCGAACAACTATGACGCACTGAAAGAAGGGTTTGGGACGAACTGTACCTATGTAGGGTCATACGTCGCCATGTTACCAATTCCAACGGTAACTTAAACATCATAATTTGTAACCACGTATAGTGTAAATCAACTGTAAATTTATATCATTTAAAGGGTTTTGACCCATATATTTTGGTGGCTCATAGCATGTATACCTCGTTTGCACTGATGATGGATTTAACAATCCGAAAACGTTTTGCAATATTTTTGTAATAGCCCGTTTGGACATTTTATTATATACCTTTTATAAAGGATTTTAAATAAATTATTTATTGTCTTATTACATGTTAATTGTAATTGTTTTATATGATTTGCTAGTTTGTTGCCCAAATGCATTTCTAAAAATTTAATATGAGGATCTACTGTTATTGGTTTTCCATATAACGTAAGATTTGGCATGGTATTTATATTTGTTGTTTTTGCAAAGACCACGACTCTTGTTTTTGTAGTAAAAATTTCAAAGCTAGTGTTCTAAGCCCATGTTTCTAGTTTATTTATAAAGCTTTTGTCATACTATCTATATTTTTTCCCTTCGTAAATACCACTAAATCATCATCATTAGTGCTTTTAAAGGTTTTTCTTTGTTTTTTAAAACATTATTAATTGGTATCAGGAGGAGTGTTGGGCTAATAACAGACCTTTGTGGTGCTCAATTTGTTAAGTAGTGAATTTTCGAGTAAGAACTTGAAACTCTCACCCTATTGGTTTAACATTTATTGATAAACAATAAACAAAATTAGAATTTTGTCGGCCTTTAATCGATTCTGTCTAAATCCATTTTGCTCAGTAATCAGTAATCGATTTTTTTTTCAATGTCCACATTATTGTACTGTTAACGATTTTTTGGATAACTTTGCACATAGAACAAGTAATTTAGATTGGCCTGTATGATTCCACACTATATCTTAATTTATTGTCTTTTAAAAGAGGTAGGGCGTAGGAATTAGTCCCTATTAAAGGAAAACACTGTTGTGTCCATGTGAAATTAAATATATCAAGTAAATGATATTTGGCTGATTCCGGAAGATGCTTTAGAAATATGGTTGGGATATCATCGGGTCCAGGAGAAAGTGCTGAATTAAGTTCTTAAAATGTAATACGACTAGTAATTGCTAAAATAGGATTTTCATTATTAACAAGTCACCTAGGGCTCGATAACACGGAAAGAATCCCGCCAGAGCTCAATCCTTTTGATACCGTAGGTATCTGGGATGAGTGAATTTTCGCCTTAGAGGGAGTGTAAGTCGTATGGCTAAATCTGGATAGAGCCTACAAATAAATAATATAGACAATTTGGAACCAAACACCGCTTCACAAAATATATTAAAATAAAATGATGTTTTAAAGCTTAAATATGTAATAACAATTAGCTAGATAAATAGAGGTATAAATATAATTGTGATAAAATATGTAACTAAAAATTTATGTAGCTAATTTTAATTTAATTTTACCTTAGCTAATATCTCGGAAACAATCCTGTCTAGCTCCTGCGGTTCTAAGACTTTTCCTTTAGACTTATTGACTTCCAGTTCCTGTTGATCTAAAGCTGTGTTTTGAGCTGGAATAATTTTCTCGCTAACACCGGTTTCTATATTGTGTTTAACGTTAGCACCTAGTTTGTCTATATTTAGGGGCTGGTCCAACAAAGTTTTAACTATGACCATTACGCTATCAATAGGTTTTGTATTCGAAATAGACAGTAAATTAAGAATTTTATCTCTTAACGTTCCAGCTTCTACGTTAAATGTGTAAACATTGTGACTAAGAGCTTGTTTATCATCAAAACTTCCTCTATTAGATGCTCCCACTATTTGACTATCAGCCTCTCTATTAGATTTATCTTGTACTGGAGTGTCTGAAATTTCCGGTTTGGAATCTATTTCTTTGTTAGGGTCACAATCAGGGTTTATATTAAGGCACCATCTTTTACATGTTGGACATTCAGTTAAAGATTTACATTTATATTTATTGGTGCAAGATGTGCAGAATGCTTCGTATAGCTTGCTATTCTTTTTATTTTTATCTTCGGGGAGTTCTTTAGATGTTGTCGCAAGCCTGGATGACAATGTGGAACTAAGTCTAGAAATAATTTAAATTAATATAAAACGTTTACCTATATATATATATATATATATATATATATTATATATATATATATATATATATATATATATATATATATAATATATATATATATATATACATATATATACATATATATTTATATTTATATATATATATATATATATATATATATATATATATATATATATAAATATATATATATATATTATATGTATAAATATGAGCCATTGAAAACCAGAGTGGTCCAAATCAGATATGCTGGTATTCTGGAAACAATGACGTAAAGTTAACATGTTGTCGTTAAATAGCAACATAAAGACTGACTATAATCAGAATGACTTTCAATAAAAAAAGCTTAAAGTTAAACAACTCCAGCGGACCAGTGACCAATGAGTTAGTACTCGAACACTACATAATTATACACCGAAAAATCGCGTAACGGGAAATTCTTTACTTAGACCACTCTGGATTTCAACGTATAGGTAAAAGTTTATGGTCGGTATGGACCTTACGTGAGATGGAGTGAGAAACATCTGTGTCAAAAGAGAGAGGTATATTAGGTCCACCCTATATAGTTCAAATAATAAAAAAGAGGAAATTCAACGTTGCTAAACTTATTGGTTTTATTTGACCTGTTCTCTTTTTAGCATTTGAACAATGCTCTAAGATAATAAAATTTGGGCGAAATGGATTTAAATGGCAGCTTACTGTTTTTTATTGGGAATATGCCACAATTTTACTGTACAATAAGTGTAATATAACATTTTGATTTCCACTTCGGAGATCGTTTTATATAAATAAAATTTATCAATGTTTCGTATTTTAAGTACGATTTTCGAACTAAAAATCTAAACAACAAAATAAGCTTATTCTAAAGTCACATTTTGCCTTATTTTAATTTTTTTTTAAATTTTTTTATTATATATATAAAATTTAAATTTTTAATTTTTTAATAAACTGCTTATGATGCCACTATAAACAAAAGCTTCATACAAAATTATTTGGCAACATCTCGTCTCCCGATCTTTCGATTCGTCAAAGCACCGAATCAAAGTAAGGACAGAGGTAACGAGTAGAGGTGGATCGTTGACATTTTTATCGTAAACCGATTTTCGTAAACAAGTACTGTGATTGTTTAACAGTAGTTTTAAGTAAGAGAGTACCTACATAAACAAACATAATGGTTATTATCGTTTATGTGTATATTTATTGAAGTGAAAGAAACTAATGAATGATATATTTATTATAACTTGAAAAATAAACTAAACAATACAACCCGATATTAGTAATTGTACTACGTCGGATACTATGGATGTAAGGTTACGGTTTGCTAAAATTTTATTGCAAGATTCTTGCAGGCAGCGTACCATAACAATCACTGAGCTACCCTTCAAGTACTTTTGGCACTCATTGCAGTTGTTATTCATTTAAAAAGTTGTAAAATTTGGGAAAGTTGAGAACAAATAATTCAGTCTTCATTTTTTAGATTTGGTCTAAGTCTAAGTCTGTATTAACTAATATCAATGTGGAACGGATTGCCTCTTGTGCCCTTTATATGCCTGGAACGATATGAATAATCGTTTTCTGTATCCTTTATGCTATGCGATATATAAAGATATATATTTGATATATAAAGCGATAGCGGCTTTCGCTAAAAGATTTAATTCTTTACACATTTCGCATAGCTTAAAGGATACATAAAACGATTATTCATATCGTTTCGTTCACAGCCTCCAAAGTAGGTGGCGCCTTTATAAGCTAACTACACGGTAGTAAAGATTTGGGAGACATTCGTTTTACTTTCCGAGTTTGAATTTGTATCAGCCCAAGTGTCTGACGATAGCTGGGATAGGCCGAAATGATCATAACACTTTAGTGATACCAATTCGAGCACGGGAAGTTTAACGAATTTGTCTCCTAGGCCATATAGTTGGCCATTTGATATATAAAGCGATAGCGGCTTTCGCTAAAAGATTTAATTCTTTACACATTTCGCATAGCATAAAGGATACAGAAAACGATTATTCATATCGTTTCGTTCACGGCCTCCAAAGTAGGTGGTGCCTTTATAAGCTAACTACACGGTAGTAAAGATTTGGGAGACATTCGTTTTACTTTCCGAGTTTGAATTTGTATCAGCCCAAGTGTCTGACGATGGCTGGGATAGGCCGAAATGATCATAACACTTTAGTGATACCAATTCGAGCACGGGAAGTTTAACGAATTTGTCTCCTAGGCCATATAGTTGGCCATTTGATATATAAAGCGATAGCGGCTTTCGCTAAAAGATTTAATTCTTTACACATTTCGCATAGCATAAAGGATACAGAAAACGATTATTCATATCGTTTCGTTTACGGCCTCCAAAGTAGGTGGCGCCTTTATAAGCTAACTACACGGTAGTAAAGATTTGGGAGACATTCGTTTTACTTTCCGAGTTTGAATTTGTATCAGCCCAAGTGTCTGACGATGGCTGGGATAGGCCGAAATGATCATAACACTTTAGTGATACCAATTCGAGCACGGGAAGTTTAACGAATTTGTCTCCTAGGCCATATAGTTGGCCATTTGATACTTTTTATCTTATCTATTTGTACACGACATCATTTAAGTGTGTCCTCCACCAATAAATTTAACGTATGAGCAAAAGAGTTTAAATGTTTTCATTCCAAAACATCTTTAATAGCTTGACCATATTTGAGGCATTATCAGTTAATGAAAAATTTACTTTACGTTTTAGACCTCACTGATTAATAATATCACAAATTTCAAACGCGATGTTTTCTGAATTATGATTTCCAGAAAAATGGCAGCAGCATAATAAAACCGTTTTAAATTCTAAATTTTCGGTTAAATATTGTCCTGTTGATGCGATGTAACTCTCAGTTACTCCAGATGTCCGGAGGTCAGTAGTAATACAGATATTTTCTACTTCTTTACAAACTTGTGATCTAATAATTTGCTTAGTAATTATAACATTAGTGAAGTAATGAACCTGCAATGAATAATTATGCAATGGGTACCACCAAACCGCAGAAAGAGAGGAAGACCCAAGAAATCTTGGAGAGATGGAGTAAAGAAGGCGATGAGAGCAAGAGATCTTAGAAATGGCCAGTAGGATGATAGAGTGTTATGTAAATTAGGCATCGGACAACGTCGCAAGGCGTTATAAAACCGATTGATATATATATATATATATATAAAAGTAATGAACCTAACGTAATAAACAAGTTTTTCTTGTTGGCGGTTTATATCTAGGAATTCACCGTGCAAACTTTTTAAAAGCTCATTTTTCAACTAGGGAAAACGGATGAAACGAGTCTTTGCATAGGTTTAGTAAATCCATATCTATTTGTTTCTTTTGTTCTAAACTATTACTTTTATTAATGGAAGTATCCATCACCTTTTGACGCTTGGGTGACGGTGGCAGTATATCAGTACTTGTAGTAGAAGTAGTCGACACGGACAGAAATGCATCAGGAGAAGTTTCAATTGAAACAATATTCAGAAAGTGGACCATAAAAGCTGCATCTTTTACAAATATGCATTTTTTGAAAATAAAATTATTATTCTTATACTAGGTTAATACTTTGACTGAGAAAAATAATTCTTAATTGAATATTTACAATAAATAAATCGTTTGGCGAACTATCAATAAAGATTTGAACTCGAAAATGCAGATCAATCGTAAATCAAAACTCATTCATTAATCAGAATACCTAGTTATAAAAAACAAAAGAAATAGTTAAGAAGCTGGTTACTTCTATAAAAAAAGAAAAAAAGCTTGTACTAGTGAAAATCAGTCAGTACAAGAAAAAGAAACTGATAAAGATAACTTAAGTCCATGGTGTATTTTTGATGAATTAATTGGACATTACTCATCTAAACATACACCTGTATCAAGAGATATAAAAGAAGTAGACATATATTTGTCTGATGATATATTACCCACAAAAAAAATCAAACGGAGATTGGAACTGTCCATTACAGTGGTGGAAAAACCATCGCCATGTATATCTTAACTTAACCTCTATATTCTATCACTATTAAATCTAAATCTGGTTTAATTTTAAATAAAAGAAGAACACGGTTAACAAGAAAAGTGGAAAAATTTATGTTTTTAAATGTCAATTTAGACGATTCGCGATTTAATAATGTGTAATGTAAATGTAAGTACTGTTTGTATTGTTTAATTTATATTATTTTTTATATAGTTATAAAAAATATATCCTTTGTTAGTTTCATAATTCCAATATATATATATATATATATATAATATATATATATATATATATATATATATATATATATATATATATGTATATATATATATATATATATATATATATGTATATATATATATATATATATATATGTATATATATATATATATATATATATATATATATATATATTGGAATAATAATTAGATATACAAGAAATTAGCATAGTAATATTATGATGTTTAATTAATAAACTTACTTAAATAGTGGTTAAAGAAATAATTTATAAGTCATATACTAGCAAATATTATTAAAAAATAATTATATGAGGGTATTTTTGAAAATTTAGCATAGGATTAAGTTTTAAAAGTTTTTATTTTATTCTATAAATAAATATATTTAAGTGAGCCTTGTGCATAGGCAACCAAATATACACTGTGTTATTTGACATTTTTACATATTTGACATATTTATTAGTTTGGGATGTTAATTTAAATATAATTATGGATGTAAAATAGTAGTATATTAGTGTAAGATATTTAGTTTATATATATATATATATATATATATATATATATATATACATATATATATATATATATATATAATAGTGAATTCTGATCTAAAAAGCCTAAATGTCCATGTCCACAGTTGATTCGTGAAGTTAGTAAAATTAGAAGAAGCCATTAAGTTACAGGAAGTCATTAAGTTACAGTCAATTATTCAGTTACAGTCAATTATTAAGTGAGTTATTTAGAATAAGTCAGAAATTAAGTTACATTAAGTCAGTTACAATTAATTAAGTGAGAAGAATTCATGAAGTGATTAAGTTAAATTAAGTTAGAAAAAAGGATTAAGTTAGATGAACTCAATCAGTCAGTTACAATTAAATTAAGATTCATCAAGAAAGTTAGTTCAAGACAGTTATAATTAAATTAAATTAGAAGAAAGGATTAACTTAGAAGAATTCATTAAGTCAGATACAGTTGGAGAGTAAGAGAGTAAATTAATTCAATATAAATAGTTCAATACAGGAGTATAGTCTATTATATGGAAATTACAAGAATTTTAAATTATAATATCTATATGCAATTTCACAAATACATGGGTAACCGAGACTGATTAAGAAGATATTTAGTGGTGATTATAACTTTGATTTTGGAAAACTTTAGGCATTCAGTGATAGAAAGGTACCAAATTTTGTTAATATAATTTAATAATTGTAAGAATTTCAAATTTTAGATAGGTTGTTTTAAATTTATATTGTTTATATTAGATATATGTCTGTTTCATAATAGTTATAATAAAGATAATTTAAAAAAGTACTTACAAACTAATTCTTTGAGAACCGCGATAAAAAACCTATACTCATATATTTTATTTTAAACTCTCATTACTCATATAAAAACAAAATATCATAACAATATATATATATATATATATATATATATATATATATATATATATATATATATATATATATATATATATATATGCAAAATAATGCATAGAACATTGAATTTTTTTAGAACAGTAACAGGCGTTATAAGATTTGATAGATATAAAAATGAAGACGTAAGACAAATACATTTTAGATCAGTGAGAAAATTATAGAATATAGATCAAAATAAACATATAAATGTTCTGAAGGTATTTTCTTTCAGCGTTTTGTTTGTTTGCTATTTTTAATATAAAATAACCACAATTTCAGTTAAAATACGTTTATTTTCACGCATTGATTTCCATTGCGGATAATTTCCATTAAAAATAGTAAATATTATGTAAGCAGAATTGATAAAAATCGAAAAATTGAGTAAATAGTTTACTTAATTCTGTAACTGTTATCAACCATTTAACTTAAACTATCTATACATTTTGATCAGAATAGTAATTAATAATTAAATAAACCGTACCTGGGTGAACATCTTTTGTGCTTTAAATTGGGTGAATGTTCTGTAAAATCGGAAACAGATGAAGAAGAAACTAGATCCTTTTCCTCTATTGCTCGCACTTTTCGATTTCTTACATTAAAAACAGCATGGGGTAATCTAGGACAATAAAATAATATGTTACTAATATTATGTGTTTACCATTAGTCCAGGATATAACGGTGAAAATAGTAGAAAACCTCTGAATTTTTTGTATCCATCGATTTGCATGGAATTTTGGCAGTAGTTAAAAAGTAGCACAAAAATCAAAATCTAACCTATTTTTCCTCTGGGGGTGTCAACCACCTTGTCTCGGGTGTGCAAAAAGTTGTGGCTGTTCGAAATCAGACTTTTATTCATAAAATACAAAAATCCAAACATATGATGTTAAAAAACCAGAAAATGCTAGGCTTTTTATAGAAAAATTATAGTAACTTTTTTAAAGATCTTATAAAAATATTTAAAATGACTATTGGTAAAAGTGCAAAACCAACCTGAGCGAAATGATTCATTGTTTATTTACAGTTTACTTCGTTTCTATACAAACATTACATTCTGGAAGTTTAACTGGTTTGGAAGGTTTTGTTTTACAAAAATCCGAGTTTAAAGTGAAGACACCATTTTCAGAATTTCTCAAAAAATCTCCTTTTTTTTAAAGAACTCAACGATTAAACAATGTATAGAAGAAATGCTCCAATATAAAAAGTATTTTTATAATAAGTTGTTTTTACTTTCGATTTCGATTCTTTTTATTTCTCTAAAGGTTATATTCGCATGCGTTTAGCACCCTTCAAGCCCTTTTAGCGCAACCAATTTTAACACGGAGGGCTTAAAGAAAAAATTAAAATGCGCCACTTTGTAGCTTTTAAAATAAACTGCAAAGTGGTATATATTAAATTTTTTCCAACACTTTGTATTTTAAAGGATTTCGTTAAAAGGGCTTAAACATGGTGTTAAACGGTAATTCAACATCATATGCTTGGATTTTTGTATTTGATGAATAAAAGTCTGCTTTCGCCTAGTCATAACTTTGTTAATATTTTACGGTAATTTATAAATTTACGGTAATAATAAGAAATGAATCTCTTGGTTTTTTAAGCCTTATTTTAGATCCACACAGTTTTCCCGATAGAGTCTTAATTTGCAAAAAACGATTAAAAACATGCTTTTTTAACGTGTAATTTGTGAACTTTCAACCACGAATAACTCAAAAATGTTGACTTTTCAAAATGCCTTCACACAACATTTTTGTCTTAAAAATAGTATTCAAGCAAATACCGAGATTTTTTTTAAACACTTTTTCTACTCCCGAGTTGGGATGGTAACCACCCCTAGAGGAAAAGCACATATTGACAGAATAGATTTTGATCTTTGAGCTACATATTTTCTACAAACTGTCAAAATTTCAAATAAATCCATGCATATATAAAGTATTCTAAGCAGAATACCGGCATATCCTGGACTACATCCAATAATTAAACAAATATTGCAGGTATAAAATGTTGTGCTAAAGGCGTATAGTAAGCGGTTGTGATGTCTATAGACGTCGCGAAAATAATAATCAAAAGACAGACCCTCTTTGTTAAAGGTTACCAAAGAAATATGCATTGATTATTCACTCTACGATTGCCGTTCTGACAACGCACTTAAAATCACATTTAAACCCACTGCGCTTTTTAAAATATAAATTGTCTCCATTTTCTATTTTTGTCGTACATATATAATTTGTAACAGTGATATAGCGAATTGGTTGTTTTAATAAAAGTCAAAATAAAGATGTATTATTTTGCATTTTACCTCTGGTGTTTATTAATTTTATAGCAGTTTTCCCAATCGAAGAAAAAATATTTCAAACCCATCTTGTGTGCATGAGATTCGAACAAGGATTTGCACAATTAGGCACAAAAGATATTGAAGAATCATTACTGGGACATTTAGAGATAATGAATGTTATACATCTGATGTTGAAAAAAATCCAGCTGGTAAATATATCAAAAACCAAATTGATTATGGGTATAATACGATAATAAACAAATGTGTGGAAATGCATGTCTATCTGCAAAAATATCCAGGATTCATTAAACATACCATTATAGGTAAGTAGACTTATGAAAATCTGCAAACTGCATATTTTGCATATAATGCATAAAAAATGACAAATTTTGCATAATTTTTTAAGTGTGAATAAAGTGCATATTTGAAATTTTGGTTGTCAATAGATATGCATATAATGTTATCTTACATGTAATATATTACATGTAAGATAATACATGTAATAAACCAACAAATAGCATGGAAATCTCAATATTTAGCTTTGTATCAATACCTCTAGATATCCCAATTTTTGGTATCATAATGCAGATACTAATATAAGATAGGCAGCTTATACTTTTGTCCTTGAATATAAGGATTGAAACTCTGAACATATGTGTTTGTAATTTTATTGTGAATTGTGATTTGCAAATGCCGAAAATGAACTGCTTCAACTTAGGTAAAACCTTACAAAGATATCTATGGATATAGATAAGTTTACTGCTCAATTTGTTGCAAAGCCTTAAGTATCTAAGTATTATCTGTTACAATTAAACTTTTGTCAACTGACACCTCTCCACAATAGAAATCTCTGCTGAACGGACAGTTTTTAGGTCACCGAACATTTCATATTGTAAATAGGTAGACACCTCCGCCACAGTATAAAGAGGTATAAAAACAATATTATAATTCAATGTTTATATTTTTCAACGGTATTTTAAATCTCAACGGTATTGCGCAAGTTTTAAAATCTCAATGGTTTTTAATATATTGTACATGTCATATAAACGTTAAATAAAAAGGAGGTTAATTTCGAAGCTCTCACGGCATCGGCATTACTATACTCTGTTTTTAAACCAGGAGGAGTAATTCAAGTTTACTGCGTCATAACGCTTGTTTATAATTCGTCCAACGGCAGGCAAGTTTACTCCACTGTTATGAAATTTTGACATTTATGAAATTTTGTCCTTATTTACATTTCGTAGGTGAATTTGGTTATATCGGCGATTTTTTGTGTTTACTGTATTCGTTTAGTTTTAGTTGTAGTCTGCAAAAAATTAATTAAATTTTGCAATAGTCTTTTCGTCAAATCAATCGCATAATGTGCAAGAATACATCAATTAAAATTCAAACTGCTGAAAAGATGTTTTGTGGTGATTTTTAGCCACAAATTTAAATAAAAAAAAATCTCTTCGTCTTTCTTATTTTTAACAATTTCAACAATTTTTTAATAAAATAAACGAATATCAACTATTCTAATTCGGAAATAAGCTACAATTTAACTTGAAAAAATAATTTTATTAACGTTTCGTCTTCCAAGTCAGACGTCGTTGTCAAAATACAAAAATAAATTATTATTTTGTATTTTGACAACGACGTCCGAATTGGAAGTCGAAACGGTAATAAAATTATTTTTTTCAAGTTAAATTGTGTCCTAGTAAGGACGTGAGGAGTCAGATCAACAAAGCATCTGCATTGTCAGGATGTCTGCCAGAGATACTCTAGTCAAATCCATTTTTAAACTATAAGTAAATACAGTGATCAAAGGAGAATGAGTTGATGTGTTTTTAAGAAAATTATGTCCAGTGTTAACTATTACACAATATTATCCACTTTCAGTAACATTTAGGTTGTATGAATTAGAAATCAGTCTTAAGAATAAGAAAAATACTTCGCCGGGAATAGGAATAATATGTACGTTATATTATGTTGAAAAATTTATATCAAAATAGAAAAAGAACACCATTAAATTTTTTTAAATCAAGAACAAATCAAATCAGAAGATATTTCAGATAGTTGGAGAGAGTACCGGGTGATTCCTATTCTCCTCCTAAAAAAATGAGGAACTTGGACAATATATGGCAAAATAGCTCTTGAAATAAATATAGAGCTGCATAAGAATTAATTATATTATAGAAGAAGTAATTATCAAAAAAATACATTATAAAACTAAATTATGAATTACTTAACTAACTAAATTATCAAAAAATATAAAAAGGATTATTTATTAGAAATTAATGTTAGTATTAGTTTACGCATAAAATTGTATACAAAACATGACTTATAAGTAAAAACAAAAATTAAAATTTGAGAATGTATTTAGTGTCCGCAGTGATATAAACCCAAACAAACAACACGTTTTAAAGCTAATTATGTTTCCAAATTATTTATTTCCTATGTCCTTTTGTCTTAGATACTTTAAAATTTCTATTAATTATTTTTAATGTGTAATATATTCTTATTCTGGCCTATAATCTAATGAGATAGGCCTTTTCGGTTGATGACTAAAATTTTGAAATTCTCTTGAAAAATAATTTCCAAATCTGTAACATACTGCACAAAATTTTGGCTCGGCATATAGAGCTTGCCAAAAACGTTTGTTTCATTACCACTGTAGGCTTTAACGTAACAAAACAGAGACGAATCGTGTAGTTCATCGTACTCTCTCCCATATGCTTCACAGATTAGACAAACATGTTTCCTAAGACTTGTGAATATATATATATATATATATATATATATATATATATATATATATTCACAAGTATATTCACAATATATATATATATATATATATATATATATATATATATATATATATATATATATCACATATACATATATATCTTGTGAAGTAATTTATTTGAAGTTTGATATTTTTGGTCATCCAAAGAGTTTTCAGGAACCAAAGCAGTGGTTTCAGGCAGATAATCGTCGGTACATATATCGGTTAAATTTAACAAAATATGGCCTGCATCTCTTTAGCAATTTTCTGTACCGGAATGCATCATGTCTAAACAAAAATATCTTTTGAATGCTGCGGTAAATTATACCGGAGTAGGGTTAACACAATTGCCACCTTGCTGCCTGATTGAACCAAAAAAGGTTTCTAGCCAATCTTGATTCATCCGCCTTGTTAAAAAATAATCCATTCCAACTAACAATTATTCACAAAACTAACTCAGTTTAAGCAAAAGCGACTAGCAACGGAAGAATGGTTCTCGAGCGACTAAGAAATAAGCGCAGTCGCTTTGCTCGTTGACAGACTTTACTTCCAATTTTTCAGAGAGTGGTTCTACTGTGGAACC